ACACACACACACTCCTGACCGTAACACACTCCTGTCACCACACACACACTGACGACGCTTCATTCATGATCAAAACACACGCGAACACACACACACACACAGCGAACACACACACTCACACACTCACACACACACTCACACAGCGAACACACTCCTGTCACCTCACACACACACACACTCACACAGCGAACACACACACACACTCTCTCACACACACAGCGAACACTCTCACACACACACACACACACATAGCGAACACACACATTCACACAGCGAACACACTCCTGTCACCTCACACACACTCACACAGCGAACACACTCCTGTCACCACACACACTCTCTCTCTCACTCACACACAGCGAACACACACACACACACACACACACTCATACACACACAGCGAACACACTCCTGTCACCACACACACTCTCTCTCTCACTCACACACAGCGAACACACACACACACACACACTCATACACACACAGCGAACACACTCCTGTCACCACACACTCTCTCTCTCTCACTCACACACAGCGAACACACACACACACTCACACACACACACTCATACACACACAGCGAACACACTCCTGTCACCACACACACTCTCTCTCTCACTCACACACAGCGAACACACACACACTCACACACAGCGAACACACACACACACTCACACAGCGAACACACTCCTGTTGCCACACACACACACACACACACAGCGAACACACTCCTGTCACCTCTCACACACACACACATACACACACACACACAGCAAACACACTCCTGTAATCCACTCCTGTCACCTCACACACACACACACACACACTCACACACACACCGAACACACTCCTGTAATACACTCCTGTCACATCACACACACACACTCACACAGTGAACACACTCCTGTCACCACACTCACACACACACAGCAAACACACTCCTGTAATACATTCCTGTCACCTCACACACACACACAGCAAACACACTCCTGTAATACATTCCTGTCACCTCACACACACACACACACACACACACACACACAGCAAACACACTCCTGTAATACACTCCTGTCACATCACACACACACACACACACACACACACACACACACACTCACACAGTGAACACACTCCTGTCACCTCACACACACACACTCACACAGTGAACACACTCCTGTCACCACACACACACACACACACAGCGAACACACTCCTGTAATACATTCCTGTCACCTCACACACACACACTCACACAGTGAACACACTCCTGTAATACATTCCTGTCACCTCACACACACACACTCACACAGTGAACACACTCCTGTAATACATTCCTGTCACCTCACACACACACACTCACACAGTGAACACACTCCTGTAATACATTCCTGTCACCTCACACACACACACAGCAAACACACTCCTGTAATACATTCCTGTCACCTCACACACACACACACACACACACAGCAAACACACTCCTGTAATACACTCCTGTCACATCACACACACACACACACACACACACACACACACTCACACAGTGAACACACTCCTGTCACCACACTCACACACACACTCACACAGTGAACACACTCCTGTCACCTCACACACACACACTCACACAGTGAACACACTCCTGTCACCACACACACACACACACACAGCGAACACACTCCTGTAATACATTCCTGTCACCTCACACACACACACTCACACAGTGAACACACTCCTGTAATACATTCCTGTCACCTCACACACACACACACACACACACACACACAGCAAACACACTCCTGTAATACATTCCTGTCACCTCACACACACACACACACACACACACACACACACACACACACAGCAAACACACTCCTGTAATACATTCCTGTCACCTCACACACACACACACACACACACAGCAAACACACTCCTGTAATACACTCCTGTCACCTCACACACACACAGCGAACACACTCCTGTAATACACTCCTGTCACCTCACACACACACAGCGAACACACTCCTGTAATACATTCCTGTCACCTCACACACACACACACACAGCAAACACACTCCTGTAATACATTCCTGTCACCTCACACACACACAGCAAACACACTCCTGTAATACACTCCTGTCACCTCACACACACACACACACACAGTGAACACACTCCTGTAATACATTCCTGTCACCTCACACACACACACACACACTCACACAGTGAACACACTCCTGTAATACATTCCTGTCACCTCACACACACACAGCGAACACACTCCTGTAATACATTCCTGTCACCTCACACACACACACACACAGCAAACACACTCCTGTAATACATTCCTGTCACCTCACACACACACAGCAAACACACTCCTGTAATACACTCCTGTCACCTCACACACACACACACACAGCAAACACACTCCTGTAATACATTCCTGTCACCTCACACACACACACACACACTCACACAGCAAACACACTCCTGTAATACATTCCTGTCACCTCACACACACACACACACACACACACAGCAAACACACTCCTGTAATACATTCCTGTCACCTCACACACACACACACACACACACACACACACACACACACAGCAAACACACTCCTGTAATACATTCCTGTCACCTCACACACACACACACACACACACACAGCAAACACACTCCTGTAATACATTCCTGTCACCTCACACACACACACACACACACACACAGCAAACACACTCCTGTAATACATTCCTGTCACCTCACACACACACACACACACACACACACACACACACACACACACACACAGCAAACACACTCCTGTAATACATTCCTGTCACCTCACACACACACACACACACACACAGCAAACACACTCCTGTAATACATTCCTGTCACCTCACACACACACACACACACACACAGCAAACACACTCCTGTAATACATTCCTGTCACCTCACACACACACAGCAAACACACTCCTGTAATACACTCCTGTCACCTCACACACACACAGCAAACACACTCCTGTAATACACTCCTGTCACCTCACACACACACAGCGAACACACTCCTGTAATACATTCCTGTCACCTCACACACACACACACACACACACACACAGCAAACACACTCCTGTAATACATTCCTGTCACCTCACACACACACAGCAAACACACTCCTGTAATACACTCCTGTCACCTCACACACACACACACACAGTGAACACAAAAAAAAAAAATTAAATCTAAATTTAAATCATATGCTTCTTTTAAACATAACTTAAAGAAATGGTTAATAGAGTCAGGACTGTTTACACTACACTTGACATGAAATCCTCCTTGTCCTGCCTGTGTGTTTGCTTGTTTGTTTGTGCCTCTTGTGCTACGCCAATGTGGTTGGTTAGCTCATTGTGTTCTTTTGTGTTTAGATAGGTGAAACCTCTGTTGATAGTTATTGTCCCAGCTATATTGTTTTTTTTTTGTTTGTTTTTTTTGTGTTTTTTTTATGTGACATATTAAGATCTGTCCAGGGACAGCAGATGTAAAATAGTCTATTGGCTAATTCTGGCACATTAGTGTGCATTGTCCCTGTTAAATAAACCTGAAATAAATAAACAAACACACTCCTGTCACCTCTCACACACACACAGCGAACACACTCCTGTAATACACTCCTATCACATCACACACACACACAGCGAACACACTCCTGTAATACACTCCTGTCAGCTCTCACACACACACAGCGAACACACTCCTGTAATACACTCCTGTCAGCTCACACTCACACACAGCGAACACACTCCTGTAATACACTCCTATCACATCACACACACACACAGCGAACACACTCCTGTAATACAGTCCTGTCACCTCACACACACACACAGCGAACACACTCCTGTAATACAGTCCTGTCACCTCACACACACACACACACACACACACAATCATGCAGGTGAGGTTTGTTTAAAGGCTGGTCAGTGTGTGTGTGTGTGTGTGTGTAAAGCGTTCGCTGTCTGTCCTCAAACTCAGTCCTTCAGAACCAGAACTCTATTACTTCCATTCTGATTCTGTCATTACGACACGCGTTAGATCTTCATCACCAGATCTTCATCACCAGATCTTCATCGCCAGATCTTCATCACCAGATCTTCATCACCAGATCTTCATCACCAGATCTGCTCTTCATAAGATTATGATTTCCGTTCATAATCCATCATGTGAAAGTTTATAGAAGTATTAAGTGAGATATTCAGTCTCGCTGAACTGAACGTGTTCAAGCAGTGATGATGATGATGAAGATCTGACAGTTTAATGACAGGAAATGAGATGCACTTTACTGGCGAAATTATTATATTATAACAATTACGGTAGTTTTAAGCAATAAAAACACTGATATTTGATTGGTTGTTGTGAAGCCGCTGCGCGTCTCTACTGTATCAGCGCGGGGGAAGTACAGCTCATGACGTCACACGTGTTTCCCAGCAGACTCGAACATGTTCGAATAACCAAGAAAAAACAAATTTAAGAAACTGGACGTTTTGAACACTTTTTTTTTTTTTTTTTTAAACGTTCTTCGGACGTTAAAGGAACATTGTATCATTGTTCACACACTATGAGAACGTTACATTTGAATGTTCTCTGAGCGTTCCGAAAGTTCAGTTGGACGTTCGTTTGACGTTTTTTTAAATGTAACAACTTGAGTTTGTCAGTGGATTTCGGAAGTGAGTCACTTCTGTTAACCTGTCAATCATCTGAGATTATTAGCAGTATCAGTATTAATCAGCAAACAGGTCAAATATCTCTAATCGCGAGTATGATTATGATTTATGAAACCATAGCAAAGTATAATTCCGTGGCGATGAAGGTGTGTGACTCACTCTTGATCAAAACCAAAAATTACAGGCTAATCCTCTTTCCCCGACAGTGCTGGTGCACACACACACACACACACACACACACACACACACACTCACACACTCACTCACCTCGATGATGATGGTGAAGCCCATGGAGATGAAGATCGAGGTTCCTCAGGAGTCTGTGATTCTGTCCGATTCTCCGAGACTCTGATGCTCAATTCTCGAGGTGACTCTATAAATCTCTCTCTCTCTCTCTCTCTCTCTCTCTCTCTCTCTCTCTCAATTCAGAAAGCTTTATTGGCATGACAAAAAAATACATTTTGTATTGCCAAAGCATCAAAACATTCTCTCTCTCTCTCTCTCTCTCTCTCTCTCTCTCTCTCTCTCTCTCTCTCTCTCACTCACACAGACACACACACTCTCTCTCTCTCTCTCTCTCTCTCTCTCTCTCTCTCTCACACACAGACAGACACACACACACACACACTCTCTCTCTCACACACACACACACACACACTCTCTCTCTCTCACACACACACACACACACACACACTCTCTCTCTCTCTCTCTCACACACACACACAGACACACACACACACACACACACACTCTCTCACACACACACACACACACACACACACACTCTCTCTCTCTCTCTCTCTCTCTCTCTCTCTCTCTCTCTCTCATATGATTCTTTTCATGCGTTTTTCATGAGCTTGTGTTTTGCAAGAAACTCTTAATGCCACAAAAACTAACTTAATGTTAAAGTTAAAATGTTTTAATTTTTTAATCTGTTAAATGTCCACATTTGGAATAGTTTCATGTTCCATCGTCACGGACAGTCAGTAATAAGCCTATTGATTTCCATCATCATTATTAAAATATGCATTGATTAATTAGATCTAGAGCCAAGTTAGACCAATTTCATGTGTTGATTTTGATGTTTATTGTTAAAACTACAACGAAAAGTTATTATACATAATATTTACAGCATGTAATTGTATGGATTGAGTTTATGACATTCATAGTACAAAAAAATGGAGTGAGTGATTTGACTAGTTTTCCTCGTGTAACGTGTGTGTGTTCGACTTTATTACAGCGACACCTGCTGGACACACACACACACTCATCTGAACTCATCTCTTCTGGTGTGTGTGTGTGTCAGCTCATCCATATCTCAAGACATCGAGCTTCCAACAGTTTCTATAACTCTATTTATTAATATATTTAGTTTGTTGTTGTTGTTGACGATACCACCATGCTTCATTCCCCTGATCATATATGAGTTCTGCAATAACAAGTGACACTATGAAAGCAATTTGGTCATCATAATCAGATTTAAATATTTAACATGACCTTATATGGTCTGATCAAAGTGTTTTGAGATGACAATCTTTAAAAATATATATTTAAAAAAATGTTTTATAAAATATATTTAAATCAAATAATTAAATAAAAATGTTTTTTTGTTTTTTTTAAATAACTTTTTGTTACGTTCCTCCACTACCTGTGGTGGCTCTGTTTCCTCTATTAAAAGCTGAGGCACTTCGTGCAGAGAGAGAGAGGAGGAGGGAGAGACTGGTGTACCGGCCACCACGCCTGTTGTTGTTGTTGTTGTTGTTGATCTTCCTGCAATGTTGTAGTTGTCTCCCAATTTCTGTTTTGTTTGTAATTTACTCAATTGTTTAATAAATCCCCTAGACAAACGAGTACAACTGACTTTGCGGTCACTTTGTGTTGTGGTCAGTGTGCCTGATCATAACACTTTTATGGCAGAAAAAAAATCGAAATTGAATGACACATAAATTCAACACAGTTTAATGATGATTCACAGCTGCGTTTCATCTCTCCAGTCTCTTTATTTATTTCATATTGGAATTATGTACAGAGTCATAGAATCTATATTGTAAATGCAACAAGCAAGACAGTTTTCCGTTCTCTCCGCTGATAATCTTTGGATCGCAGGAACGTTCCTCAAAAGCCCGGCAGAAGGAGTGACGTACAGTGTGACGCGAGCGATGATGTAACCGATGACGTACAGTGTGACGCGAGCGATGATGTACAGTGTGACGCGAGCGATGATGTAACCGATGACGTACAGTGTGACGCGAGCGATGATGTAACCGATGACGTACAGTGTGACGCGAGCGATGATGTAACCGATGACGTACAGTGTGACGCGACCGATGATGTAACCGATGACGTACAGTGTGACGCGAGCGATGATGTAACCGATGACGTACAGTGTGACGCGAGCGATGATGTAACCGATGACGTACAGTGTGACGCGAGCGATGATGTAACCGATGACGTACAGTGTGACGCGACCGATGATGTAACCGATGACGTACAGTGTGACGCGACCGATGATGTAACCGATGATGTACAGTGTGACGCGAGCGATGATGTAACCGATGACGTACAGTGTGACGCGACCGATGATGTAACCGATGACGTACAGTGTGACGCGACCGATGATGTAAGCGATGATGTACAGTGTGACGCGACCGATGATGTAACCGATGACGTACAGTGTGACACGACCGATGATGTAACCGATGACGTACAGTGTGACACGACCGATGATGTAACCGATGACGTACAGTGTGACGCGAACGATGATGTAACCGATGACGTACAGTGTGACGCGAACGATGATGTAACCGATGACGTACAGTGTGACGCGACCGATGATGTAAGCGATGATGTACAGTGTGACGCGAGCGATGATGTACAGTGTGACGCGAGCGATGATGTAACCGATGACGTACAGTGTGACGCGACCGATGATGTAACCGATGACGTACAGTGTGACGCGACCGATGATGTAAGCGATGATGTACAGTGTGACGCGACCGATGATGTAACCGATGACTTACAGTGTGACACGACCGATGATGTGACCGATGACGTACAGTGTGACACGACCGATGATGTAACCGATGACGTACAGTGTGACGCGAGCAATGATGTAACCGATGACGTACAGTGTGACGCGAGCGATGATGTAACCGATGACGTACAGTGTGACGCGAACGATGATGTAACCGATGACGTACAGTGTGACGCGAACGATGATGTAACCGATGACGTACAGTGTGACGCGACCGATGATGTAAGCGATGATGTACAGTGTGACGCGAGCGATGATGTACAGTGTGACGCGAGCGATGATGTAACCGATGACGTACAGTGTGACGCGAGCGATGATGTACAGTGTGACGCGAGCGATGATGTAACCGATGACGTACAGTGTGACGCGAGCGATGATGTACAGTGTGACGCGAGCGATGATGTAACCGATGACGTACAGTGTGACGCGAGCGATGATGTAACCGATGACGTACAGTGTGACGCGAGCGATGATGTAACCGATGACGTACAGTGTGACGCGACCGATGATGTAACCGATGACGTACAGTGTGACGCGAACGATGATGTAACCGATGACGTACAGTGTGACGCGAACGATGATGTAACCGATGACGTACAGTGTGACGCGACCGATGATGTAAGCGATGATGTACAGTGTGACGCGAGCGATGATGTACAGTGTGACGCGAGCGATGATGTAACCGATGACGTACAGTGTGACGCGAGCGATGATGTACAGTGTGACGCGAGCGATGATGTAACCGATGATGTAACCGATGACGTACAGTGTGACGCGAGCGATGATGTACAGTGTGACGCGAGCGATGATGTACAGTGTGACGCGAGCGATGATGTAACCGATGACGTACAGTGTGACGCGAGCGATGATGTAACCGATGATGTACAGTGTGACGCGACTGATGATGTAAGCGATGATTTACAGTGTGACGCGAGCGATGATGTAACCGATGATGTACAGTGTGACGCGAGCGATGATGTAACCGATGACGTACAGTGTGACGCGAGCGATGATGTAACCGATGACGTACAGTGTGACGCAACCGATGATGTAAGCGATGATGTACAGTGTGACGCGACCGATGATGTAACCGATTACGTACAGTGTGACGCGAGCGATGATGTAACCGATGACGTACAGTGTGACGCGACCGATGATGTAAGCGATGATGTACAGTGTGACGCGACCGATGATGTAACCGATTACGTACAGTGTGACGCGAGCGATGATGTAACCGATGACGTACAGTGTGACGCGACCGATGATGTAAGCGATGATGTACAGTGTGACGCGAGCGATGATGTACAGTGTGATGCGAGCGATGATGTAACCGATGACGTACAGTGTGACGCGAGCGATGATGTAACCGATTACGTACAGTGTGACGCGAGCGATGATGTAACCGATGACGTACAGTGTGACGCGAGCGATGACGTACAGTGTGACGCGAGCGATGACGTACAGTGTGACGCGAGCGATGACGTACAGTGTGACGCGACCGATGATGTAAGCGATGACGTACAGTGTGACGCGAGCGATGATGTACAGTGTGACGCGAGCGATGATGTACAGTGTGACGCGAGCGATGATGTAACCGATGACGTACAGTGTGACGCGAGCGATGATGTAACCGATGATGTACAGTGTGACGCGAGCGATGATGTAACCGATGATGTACAGTGTGACGCGAGCGATGATGTAACCGATGACGTACAGTGTGACGCGAGCGATGATGTAACCGATGACGTACAGTGTGACGCAACCGATGATGTAAGCGATGATGTACAGTGTGACGCGACCGATGATGTAACCGATTACGTACAGTGTGACGCGAGCGATGATGTAACCGATGACGTACAGTGTGACGCGACCGATGATGTAAGCGATGATGTACAGTGTGACGCGACCGATGATGTAACCGATTACGTACAGTGTGACGCGAGCGATGATGTAACCGATGACGTACAGTGTGACGCGACCGATGATGTAAGCGATGATGTACAGTGTGACGCGAGCGATGATGTACAGTGTGATGCGAGCGATGATGTAACCGATGACGTACAGTGTGACGCGAGCGATGATGTAACCGATTACGTACAGTGTGACGCGAGCGATGATGTAACCGATGACGTACAGTGTGACGCGAGCGATGACGTACAGTGTGACGCGAGCGATGACGTACAGTGTGACGCGAGCGATGACGTACAGTGTGACGCGACCGATGATGTAAGCGATGATGTACAGTGTGACGCGAGCGATGATGTACAGTGTGACGCGAGCGATGATGTAACCGATGACGTACAGTGTGACGCGAGCGATGATGTAACCGATGACGTACAGTGTGACGTGAGCGATGACGTACAGTGTGACGCGACCGATGATGTAAGCGATGATGTACAGTGTGACGCGAGCGATGATGTAACCGATGACGTACAGTGTGACGCGACCGATGATGTAAGCGATGATGTACAGTGTGATGCGAGCGATGATGTAACCGATTACGTACAGTGTGACGCGAGCGATGATGTAACCGATTACGTACAGTGTGACGCAAGCGATGATGTAACCGATGACGTACAGTGTGACGCGAGCGATGACGTACAGTGTGACGCGAGCGATGACGTACAGTGTGACGCGACCGATGATGTAAGCGATGATGTACAGTGTGACGCGAGCGATGATGTAACCGATGACGTACAGTGTGACGCGAGCGATGATGTAACCGATGACGTACAGTGTGACGTGAGCGATGACGTACAGTGTGACGCGAGCGATGATGTAACCGATTACGTACAGTGTGACGCAAGCGATGATGTAACCGATGACGTACAGTGTGACGCGAGCGATGACGTACAGTGTGACGCGAGCGATGACGTACAGTGTGACGCGACCGATGATGTAAGCGATGATGTACAGTGTGACGCGAGCGATGATGTAACCGATTACGTACAGTGTGACGCGACCGATGATGTAAGCGATGATGTACAGTGTGACGCGAGCAATGATGTAACCGATTACGTACAGTGTGATGCGAGCGATGATGTAAGCGATGACGTACAGTGTGACGCGAGCGATGATGTAAGCGATGACGTACAGTGTGACGCGAGCGATGATGTAACCGATTACGTACAGTGTGACGCGAGTGCTTTCATACGTCACCACAACAGGGTCTCGCCACATCACGCTATTCTGAACATAAATGACATCAAATGGGCTTAATGTACGAATTTACGTGTATTATTAATCAATGTATTAATCGCTTTTTTTATTGCCAATGTAAAACGACACTTCCTCGACCTCAGACACGGTGGTCTATGAAAGCCGGATCTTTATGTGAAGGACTCGGGACGTTTTTACCAGGAAATCAAAAGTGTGACGCTAACACTCGCGAGAGTCTGTCTCCTGTTCAGTTACACACGACACTAAAGCTTATACGATGTTCAGGAGTGACCCGGGAACAATGCTGTGTTTCTCCTCATAAAACATGATCCAGGATCTGAACACGTCTACTAAACAAGGGAACATGTAGTATAAAAATAAACATAAGCGGTCAGATGGCATGAACGCGCTCACTCCAGAGGACGAAGCGGATAAATGTGTTCATACACCGGGAGAATGCGTTCAGACTCTCGCTGACGACGACTGGCTCTCCCGAATCCCGATGGAGGGAACGAGACCAAGCCGGCGTGACGCTCCGTGTTCATGATGACGAGCCGTAGATACAGTAATGTACAGATAATCCCCATAATCCTCAGCAGAAGTGAGTGATTATACAGCGCCTCGATCGGGGACGGCTGAGAGAAACACATGAACACACGTCACACACACACACACTAACATGTTCTCCGATCGACTACACACACTAAACCACTGAGATCAACGGCAGTTCAGTTCCTCTGCTCGACTATATTATACAGCGTATATTAAAACTTAGTACATCCAACTTTACATTCAATACTAAACTCATGTAAACCGATAATACACCATATAGCAGTGAAATGAAGCTTTCCAAAAGAGAATATTTTGTGATGTATCTATTAAATGCAATTACCAAATCATCAAATATCATTAAATATGAGCTATCAGTATAATATATGTTATTTTATTAAATTGCAGGGCTTGTTTTATGGAGAGTTTGGTTAATTAGGCCAGTAAGAGACTTATTTAAAGCGCTTTGGTGGCCATTGGGTCTGTGAAAGCGCTATATAAATGCAGTCCATTTAAAGGGGTCACGACTGATCTTTTGACATTTGCATTAAAATATCCTGAGAGTTTTAAACGTCCTCAATAAAAGCAGCTCCAAAAACAGCGTATCTTCATATTACTGGATCAGTGACGTCACATGAGCAAACACATCTGCATACGCCCGCCCCCAGAGCAAGACGTCGACCAATAGGTGTACTGCAATACACCACAGGCCCCGCCCACTGGCACCATAGGCCCCGCCCACCGGCTGGATTATTTGAATGGTGCTGCAGGATTGTGTGTTTGCTCAGAGTAACCGAGAGTTCAGAGAATCATCAGTAAATGAGTTCATTATGCTTTATCTGTAAATTATGATTTTATATGGATAATGTTTTTTTAAACACTCGCATGCATTAGCGAGTGGCCGTTGATACTCATTCCTGTGCAGTGACGTCAGCCAATCAGAAACAGTGGGCGTTTACTGACACGCCTTAAAGGAGCCGCGCATTAAAAACTGATCATATATATTAAAAATAAAAATGCATGTCATGACCCCTTGAACTAAATATTTATAGAAAATAAAAACTTTCAAGACAGTTCTGATGTAATGAAGCCTCGTTTACTGAAATCTCCTGCTTTACTCTTTATATCGTCTCCAAATGCAACTATATTATCGTGCGGCTCTAATGAGACTATAAGATATTATAAAATTAACATCATGATTTTATTCACTATCCACATAGTGATCATTTCACGCATGCAAATGTAAAGTCTCACCTGGGATTCAGATCCTAGAAAAGATTCTTGCTTTTCTGTGAAGGAAAAGAGAAAGAGTTCAAGAAACTGGACATTAGTAGTAAAAACTGCTCAAATAAACATTAGACAACAGTAACTGTATATAAGCATAGATCTATTCAACCTGAGGGACATCCTTTGGGATATTAGTTCCTCTTATATGGTTTTGTTTTTCAAACAGGACTGGAGAATTACATTTATAAATCCTTCATAACATCAACAGTTTTGGTAACGCATTAGTTCAAACACACACTTGAAAAATAATAATACACTTTTTTAAAATGTTGTCAATCCCACATTTCTTTGGAAGGATTCATCTTTGCATGTTCATGTAAAAAGTCATATTTTCATATAACTTGCAAAGATGTTCTTATATATTTTGGATCAAAAATATTTTTGGAATACTGTGGAATGATTAAGATTTATTAATGTTGTCGAAAGAGTCTCTTCTGCTCACCAAAGCTGCATTTATATGATCAAAAATACAGTAAAAACAGTGAAATATTACTCCAGTGTAAATCAGCTGTTTTCTATGTGAATATATAGTAAAGTGTAATTTATTCCTGTGATCAAAGCTGAATTTCAGCATCATTACTCCAGTCTTCAGTGTCACATGATCCTCCAGAAAACTTCAGACTTTTTTCAAAAGCACTAAAAAAAATCATAATTATTCCAAACTGGTGGTGTATAACTGATGATGAAAAGCAAGACACTGATCCGTCTGCACAAAACTACACACTTACCAGACAATCATCCTCAGCTCTTCTAGTTTCATCACTTCAAAACAAACGGACAGAACAGAAGAACACACACACGCGAGACAGAACACACACACGCCAGAAAGAAGAGCAGAAGCGGAGATGTGGCGGAAACAAGGAGTTTAATAGAAATAACTCAAAGACATACAGTGAAAAAACAAGAGAAACAAACGAGCAACTTAAGCAGAACGATGACATCATGACATGAGAAAACACACACACACACCTTTACATGAGACCCGTGAGTGAGCGCTACTTAATGAAACCTCACTGTAAAGTGTTATCTTTAAACATACAAAAGGTGTAAAAGTATTTACAAAGTCAATCTTTAGAGAAAGAAGAGGCTTTTCAAATGAAAAGTGAAATATTATATATGTCTATATATTAGTGCTGGGCAACGATTAATCACATCCAAAATAAAAGTTTGTGTTTACATAATATATGTGTGTGTGCTGTGTATAATTATTTTGTATATATAAATACACACAAATGCATGTACGGTATATATTTAAGAAAAATTTGTTATTTATATATAAAATATTTATATATAATATAAATGATGTATATATACAGTATATACATACACATATGCATGAATATATTTAAGATATATTTGCATGTATATACTGTATTTATATTTATACTAGGGATGCACGATGATATCGGGACAACATCGGTATCGGCCGATAAAAGCTTAAAATGACCATCATCGGCATCGGCCGATATGTATATTTCTGCCGATGAGTCTTGCCTTGCCGATAGGGTGGCGTGTTTCCTATGCGCACGTGACGACCGTGAACGAAGCATGAGCGCCAGCAACTTAAACTTCCAACTAGGGGTGCGCGTCTCACGGTTTTTGATCGTGGACGATTAAAATGTCTCCACGATCTGCTTTTGAAGAAAAATCATAGTATTGTGCATTCTATCAGTTCAATTCTGGCGCCTTCATCTCAACATACTGTACAACGCGACGTACATTCACATCACATCACATGTAAACGCAGAGGTAGAGTTACACTCACGGGACACTGCAATTCACAAAAGTTCATTGTTTGCATGTGCGTCAAAGTCTTGCTAGGTAAACATGTCATTCACGTGCTGATGCGCTGTTCTAACATCCGCTTTTCTGAGCACGCGCGTACACGCGACGCTCACAGGAACTATAGCCGTCACAGCGCCTGCATACTGGACTAATCTTTCGAGTCTTATTGCGCTGAGACTGTCAAATACACACAAGGTTTACATAAACAAAGTTGGTTATGTCTAAAGTGAAAGCAAACAGAGAAAATCTGCTTGTCAAATGCGTGTATATTAGACGCGTCGCGTTACTCGCGTGCAGTTCTTAAAGAGACAGTAATAATATTCTGCCGCTTGTCTTTAAAGAGATACTGCACCCAGAAATAAAAATTCTGTCTATCTAATGTTGTTTCAAACCTGGATTCAATTCTTTCTTGTGCTTTAATATACTATGGAAGTCACTGGAGTACAGCAACTGTTTGGTTAGCCACATTATTCCAAATAACTTTTATAATTTCAACAGAAGAAAGAAACTTGAGAGAGTAAATGATGACAATTTAAATTTTTGGGAGAACTATCCCGTTAATGTTAATAAAACAACAAAACACAGAGGAAATCACTCACTGCTCTTGACTGAGAACATTAATAGAAGCTTTAATAAGCTTTTTTTGCACTTAAAAAAAAAATACAAATATATCGATATCGGTATCGGCATCGGGCAAAATTAGTTTGAAAATATCGGCATATCGAATATCGGCCAAAATCCTATATCGTGCATCCCTAATTTATACATCATTTATATTATATATAAATAACACATTTTTTCTTAAATATATACATGCATGTGTGTGTATTTATATATATAAAATAATTATACACAGCACACACACATATATTATGTAAACACAAACTTTTATTTTGGATGTGATTAATCGTTGCCCAGATATATATATATATTATATGTATTACTCTGAGAAGCAGATCATGTGTCAGGCTTGCGTGTAAAAGTGCGTCAGCTGACAGACAGAACCCAAACACACATCTCTCTGTTTCTGAAGCAGAAGCTAGACTTCCTGGAGGTGTTGATGATCCAGCCGGTCCACGGCGCGTGTGTGTGTGTGTGAGTCAGGCCAGCGCTCAGACGTGTGTGTGTGAGTGTGTGTGTGTGTGTGAGTGTGTGTGTGTGTGTGAGTCAGGCCAGCGCTCAGACGCGCGCGTGTGTGTGTGTGTGTGAGTCAGGCCAGCGCTCAGACGTGTGTGTGTGTGTGTCGAGGCCAGCGTCAGATGGAGGTTTCCAGGCGCTTCAGGGGCTTTACCTTTTTCTTGGCCTGCAGCATCTCCTGATAGGCACTCGATCTGATGAAGCGGCTGTAGGAGTCACTCTTCATGAGCTTATAGATGTGCTCCTGATGGAGGAAACACAAGATGATGAAGATGATGATGAAGAAATCCTCACGCTGACGGAATAATGATGATTAGTGTTCTGGGTCTCATTATAAACCTGCGTACGCCACTTCCCATGCAAAGATTGTGATTTATAAAAACTAGCGGTCGACCGATACATCAGCCGATATTTGGCATTTTTTAAATATCGCCATCGGCTGATAAGTTTTCCTGATTGGCCGATGTGTTGGAGGCGGGACTTTTATTTTGACAGGCGGGGCTGAGAACACATTCTTCATTAGTTTACGATCTCTGTCAGTCAGATCTCACAATGACTACGTTTACATGCAGCCAAATTTCGGGTTATGGTCGGGTTAAGGTCACTATTCGGGTTTCTGAAACATTAGGGATAACCCGTTTACATGCGTGAGCAGAGAGAGTTACTCCTGTATACATGGAATTGCAATATCCCGATGTAAACGCGACGCGCGGTTAGCGTCTGGACGTGCGGACAACCTTAAGACGCACTATGCGTCATTTCCGATTCTTCTTCCTGTATCCAAAGACAACAACAACAACAACAGCAGCAGCACGCAGATAATGAATAGTTCGGGGCAGATAGCGATCGCCTTTGTTTGCGCTTTGGTGCTGGTAACGTTACTGACCTCGCTCCAAAAGTATGCTGTGCTGCGTCTCGTCATGTTTACTTCCGGTATACTGCACGCGGGGTTTTGTATGCGCCGAGAAGTTTCTCTACTCAAAAGACCAAGATTCCTTGCGAATAGAACATGCGCAGAACACACATCACTATGGGGATATGCCGATGCGCGTTTACATGACCAAAAATTCGGGTTAGAAAAGGGGTACCCCAGGTATAATATCCCGGTTTTTAAAATCCGGGATATGAGCATATTCGGGTTTTTGCCGGTGTTTACATGGCCGTTCGTGACCGGGTTATTGCTAATATCCCGGTTTTGAACCGGTTATTGGCTGCATGTAAACGCAGTCACTGTGTTAGACAGAACTGGTAAACAAAGAAAGTAAATGCTTTTATATTATTTGTAACAGAAAAGGCAAACAATCAGACTAAAATACTCTCATTTACCGTCAGCATTCAGCAAACGCGCATCTACATCATTTAAACAAATCTCTGAATATCTAATTAACATTTAATTTCACAAACCTCACAGATTTACTCGAATAGAGCTGTGATATCTTGTGAAGTGTGCATGTGTATCCGGCTTAACCGTGTTCCTGCGAGTGCCGGAGCGACTGAATGCATTTTGCCATTTGTGTCAGGCACACACACACACTTTTAGATCATACACACAGGTGTGGAACTGAGACCCTGGTCATTTTGACCCGGAGAGGATTTTCTTTTTCTTAAAAATCCTGGTTAATGCGATCGCACTGGACTAAAACTTACTGACTTTGCTCACAACCACTTCTAAAATGTTTTTAAATATTTTTGTGCTTTCCGGGTCAAAAATGACCTGCCTACAAAAAACTGCTTATAAATCTCTCGTTATGCTGTGTAATCGCCTAATATTGGATTTAATCTTTTTATCAACTTGTTTTCTTTTGATTCGCACAGGTTTTGTCTGATTGATCATTTGGACTGATTGTTTAGGGACTGATAATAGGCCTCATGCATCAGTTCACTTCAACGAGGCCTACAATCAATCAGATCCAAAGAGAAACACTAAACCTGTCCTAACTGAAAGAAAACAAGTTGATAAAAAGATTGAACCCAATATTGAACTCTCTGAATCGACATGCAGCAATGCTACATATTCTAAATATCATAATCATTTGTTAACAGACAAGTTTTCATTACTTCGATGAGCTCACTGTCTCTGCCTTAAATTATTACATAGTTTAAATTAATACATTTTTAGCTAACTGTGTTTTTACATATGTACATTTCTGAAATGCATAACTTAGACAGTCTCCTCTGATGACAGATCACTGTAAACTGTAAAGTCGACTCTTTTGCATTTTGGACTCTTGGTGCATTTTCTGTAAAGCTGCTTTAAAACGATGTGTAATGTGAATGTGAATGTAAATTATCTGGTCATAATGAGAGGTTTACAAGCGATGTAAAGGCACACCAGATGAGGCACAGGATTTCCAGCACACACACACACACACCTGAGCGTCTTCGAAAGCGTATCGGCCGGGGTCTTTGACGTTCTGCGTGGTCTTGTCGTAGCTCTTGGAGTCGACGTTGATGGCACTGGGCGCTCCCGGAGCGAGGAACTCTTCCCAGATCTCCTGAACTCTGCTGGGAACCTCCCGGATGGGCCGCTTCTTCAGCTCCTGGACCGACAGCCAGAACCTGCACGCAAGATGCCCTTCAAACCACTGTACTGGACACAGGGCTCCCAGCAAGCATTGCAGCAAGCAACTGTGTGTTTAACACGGCCCTGGCGTCTGGGCTAAAGCCAGGCTACATTTAAAACACGTCTAAACCATCGCCCAGGAATTGACTAGTATAATTTCATTTCTTTGTTATCCAATTGAGGACTCGTCTATTCTTGGGAAATGGTTTAGACGTCAGGGTTGTGTTTGTGTTTGGACGGCTATTAGACGTCTTTTAATTGCTTGCTGGGTTGCTGCACACTTTTATAAGTCAAATTTAAGGCTTTTTAAGTCCTGAAGAAATTAAAATTAATAATGTAAATCAGGGGTGTGCTATATTGAAAGTTCAAGTTTTGTTGATAGTAGTGTGTTGTTGTGTTGTGTGCTGGTGCCACGGCTGCTTTAGGCCTGTTGTTGACAGCTAACTAATGAAGATATTCATATTATTCATATTCTATACGGTGGGCAGTTCACAGCACTGACAGAAATGAACATTTCTATTAAGAGGCAATATTTATTTGCCACCTTAAATTGATTTCCAGGGGCATTTTTACCTTTATAAGAGCATTTTTAGATGTATGCATCACCTTTTATGTCAAATTCTAACATTCAAATTCAATTCTATTAGAATAATAACAGTAGGGGCTTTTACCAGTCAAATGAAAGCAACAAAATCCATCTCTGGCATTCATATATTTATACACAGCATTTACAATTGCATAAATAATGCAATGAGATTTTTTTTTTAATTCAATATTTAAATTTGTGATTTGAACTTTTTAATTAAAGGGTACTAAAACCATCACTTGAACCGATTGGTTCGAACGGCTGATTCCTTCAGGAAGTGATCATTGAGTCATTAATTACACTGATTCAGTAAAACACAAGTCATCGCTGTCTGTTGCTGGAGACTCGGCTCTGCTACCATTTCATTTAGACATTTTCGTCGGCGAAACAAAGGAAATCAAACAATATTGTGTCTAAAATATAACTCACGTGTAAAATTTAAGACCTCATAAATAAAAATAAGCTGGTCATACCTCAGGTTCTCCGAGCTGAACTCAGACTCCAGGAACTTCAGGAACTGTTCTCTCCCGACTGGATCCTTCAGAACCTCGTTGAACCCGAATCCCCAGCGCTTCACCCGCTGCTGCCCAGGCTCTTTACTGGGAGACGGAGACACAGGATTAATGTTTAATAACATACACAACCCAGACGGGAACATGTGGATTCAGTGCGTGCCGGATGTGGGCCGGATCTGGGACATGTGGATTCAGTGCGTGCCGGATGTGGGCCGGATCTGGGACATGTGGATTCAGTGTGGGCCGGATGTGGGACATGTGAATTCAGCGCGTGCCGGATGTGGGCCGGATCTGGGACATGTGGATTCAGCGCGTGCCGGATCTGGGACATGTGGATTCAGTGCGTGCCGGATGTGGGCCGGATCTGGGACATGTGGATTCAGCGCGTGCCGGATCTGGGCCGGATCTGAGACATGTGGATTCAGCGCGTGCCGGATCTGGGACATGTGGATTCAGTGCGTGCCGGATCTGGGACATGTGGATTCAGCGCGTGCCGGATCTGGGCCGGATCTGAGACATGTGGATTCAGCGCGTGCCGGATCTGGGACATGTGAATTCAGCGCGTGCCGGATGTGGGCCGGATCTGGGACATGTGGATTCAGCGCGTGCCGGATCTGGGACATGTGGATTCAGTGCGTGCCGGATCTGGGACATGTGAATTCAGCGCGTGCCGGATGTGGGCCGGATCTGGGACATGTGGATTCAGCGCGTGCCGGATCTGGGACATGTGGATTCAGCGCGTGCCGGATCTGGGACATGTGGATTCAGTGCGTGCCGGATGTGGGCCGGATCTGGGACATGTGGATTCAGCGCGTGCCGGATCTGGGACATGTGGATTCAGTGCGTGCCGGATGTGGGCCGGATCTGGGACATGTGGATTCAGTGCGTGCCGGATGTGGGCCGGATCTGGGACATGTGGATTCAGTGCGTGCCGGATGTGGGCCGGATCTGAGACATGTGGATTCAGCGCGTGCCGGATCTGGGACATGTGGATTCAGTGCGTGCCGGATCTGGGACATGTGGATTCAGCGCGTGCCGGATCTGGGCCGGATCTGAGACATGTGGATTCAGCGCGTGCCGGATCTGGGACATGTGAATTCAGCGCGTGCCGGATGTGGGCCGGATCTGGGACATGTGGATTCAGCGCGTGCCGGATCTGGGACATGTGGATTCAGTGCGTGCTGGATGTGGGCCGGATCTGGGACATGTGGATTCAGCGCGTGCCGGATCTGGGCCGGATCTGAGACATGTGGATTCAGCGCGTGCCGGATCTGGGACATGTGGATTCAGTGCGTGCCGGATGTGGGCCGGATCTGGGACATGTGGATTCAGCGCGTGCCGGATCTGGGCCGGATCTGAGACATGTGGATTCAGCGCGTGCCGGATCTGGGACATGTGAATTCAGCGCGTGCCGGATGTGGGCCGGATCTGGGACATGTGGATTCAGCGCGTGCCGGATCTGGGACATGTGGATTCAGTGCGTGCCGGATCTGGGACATGTGGATTCAGTGCGTGCCGGATGTGGGCCGGATCTGGGACATGTGGATTCAGCGCGTGCCGGATCTGGGACATGTGGATTCAGCGCGTGCCGGATGTGGGCCGGATCTGGGACATGTGGATTCAGCGCGTGCCGGATGTGGGCCGGATCTGGGACATGTGGATTCAGCGCGTGCCGGATGTGGGCCGGATCTGGGACATGTGGATTCAGTGCGTGCCGGATGTGGGCCGGATGTGGGCCGGATCTGGGACATGTGGATTCAGCGCGTGCCGGATGTGGGCCGGATCTGGGACATGTGGATTCAGCGCGTGCCGGATGTGGGCCGGATCTGGGACATGTGGATTCAGTGCGTGCCGGATGTGGGCCGGATCTGGGACATGTGGATTCAGCGCGTGCCGGATGTGGGCCGGATCTGGGACATGTGGATTCAGTGCGTGCCGGATGTGGGCCGGATCTGGGACATGTGGATTCAGCGCGTGCCGGATGTGGGCCGGATCTGGGACATGTGGATTCAGCGCGTGCCGGATGTGGGCCGGATCTGGGCCGACACTATGTCTGGGGATACAGTTCATCCGAACCGTCCTCATCATGTGATCCGTTATTCAGATCAGAACAAACGTGTCAGTATTGATCGGATCTTCAATCAACAACAACTGTACACAGGCAACAATAATCATCATATTACACTTTTATTTCTTGAACTTTTGCCGTTTTTCCACTTTCACATCCTCTTTCTGCTTTAAATTCAAGGTTGAATTTATGATTCAACTCAAATTGCAAATAGCAAACTCATAACTAGCGCTGGGTATCGGCCCGATCCAATTCACAAGATCTCAATTTCGATTCGATTTTTTTTTATTCGATCATCGATTTTAGATTCGATTCATTGATTTAATGATTCAATGTCCACTGGCCCGCCACAAAGAAAGTAATAAATGAATAAAATACTTTGTTCATTGTTTTTGACCCATGTATCCTTGTATTATAATAAATAAAGTTATAACAACCAAAATTTTAGATGCCAGTGAAATTTAACAATTCCGATATCTATCAATTTCAATGATTATTTAAAAAAAGAACAAATAATTAATGTTTGCGGGAATACAAAGTCGAATCGACCAAATTTAAAAAAAATGATTAATCTAAAAATATTTTATTTGCCCAGACCCATTCATGACTGTGAGAATGTTTTTGAAGAATAAAAGAGTAATAATAATGTTTGATCCTTTTAAAGAACTTGATTCAAGGACGCTGAAAAGCATATTAATTTAATTAACGTTTTATCTTTTATTTGACTGATGGAGCGAGTGACACACACCTGGCCTCCAGCTCCCAGGAAGTGATGTCATCAGAGATCCAGGGGTTGGACGGGTCCGGTGTCGTGAAGAACGGGTCGTACTCCACATACTGTTCTGAGTAACCCAGCAAACTACACAGCAGATTAATCATCGTTAATAATAATGATGATCTGCATTCAATTGATTCTGATCATATTCTATTTCAAATAAATGCGAATCTTTTGACCTTTCTGGTGCGGTTTCCACAAACATATGAACTGTTTTCAACACTGCTAATAATCATAAATGTGTCTTGAGCATCAGATCCTCATATTAGAGTGATTTCTGAAAGATCATGTGACACTGAAGACTGGAGT